CACGTTCAACTAGTAACAACGAACCGTAGCCCGCATATTTACCTCGAGAATTAAACGGTATATGACCTTTACACGCTCCACTTACGTTTAGACATAAGATATAGGAATCGAATAGGTCGACACGGATAATGAGATCAATGGATTAACTGTAGGTATTAGGTTCATTTCCCCGATGTCACCAAGAATTATGCAACTAGCAAAGTTATTGGTTTTCATATATCTGAATAAATGAATTGTATCCGTTCAGAGTTTTATAAAGAAGTAACGGTGACTAACGACACAAAACCTTCATCTTTGCTCGATTAGGGATAAAATTGTAAATGCGTTGTCATCCATGAGGGATGCAGTATTTCGTTACCAGTAAGAATGGTCTCCGGTTCGGTGCTTCCGTCATTTACCATACGAAACACGGCAGCTTTATGCTGCCATTTCACGCTGGTATTCTTCGCGATAGTCAGTCCCCGGTCGTGGCATTCAATTCGTGCGGCAGAAATGCAACCTAAACGCGGTGCTTTCTGCTTGCTCATGTATGACACTTTAGTGATTGAGTGATAGAAGAAAATTATTTAAATATACCGAACAAACTACTGCCGATACCACTATTAGGTGGTATGATACCTTTCTGCCTAGGCTATTTCTGCCGATTAACAGCAGTGCGAGCACAGCAGTGATCAAGAGTGATAAAGAGGGACAGTATAATGTCTGTGAGGTATTTCAATTGCAGTCCTTAGAGGTGACAACGCATCTGTAGTCTATTTAAAGTTGGTTGCAGGTGGTCTATACGCTTTAGTCGCCACTTACCGTCAGGTGCATTACCTATTAGTTCGTTTGTCACTCCAGTTTAATATAATAAAAATAAAATTACCTAGCTTCATTACAGCGAGGGTATCGACTTTGCACTTACCAACATCAACGTTTTTACGCGGTAGAGACATGCTGCAGCTATATTTCTTGTATAGTTGTAGCACGAATGGGTCGGCTCGACCGGGGAAGGACCACGCTTTCACAGAATACCAGCGTAAAATAGGAGCTTAATGCTGCGGTGTTTCGTATGGTGAGTGTAGAGAAACGGAGACCCTTTTAACTGGAACCGAGGCATTCCATCTTAGTCCTCACGGGTGGCAACGCATCTGCATTTTGATTCGTAATCGAGGATAGATGTAGATGTCTATGGGCCACAGCAACCAGTTACCGTCAGGTGATGTGCCTATATATATTGCACCGGCGGTATTATTTCCCGGGAATACTTCATCGAATATCGGAACAAACTTGTGTCTGAAGTCGAGTATTTAATAGACAAGTCTCTGTCAAACCATCTGGCAGTAGAGCTTCTTGGTCTCTCACCAAAGCGGTCGAGACAAACTTCTGTCGGTCTACACTGCCTCCGCTGGTAAAACCAGATGGCTCACTTGCGCATGCGCCCAAGGAGAAAAGGGACTTATTTGCTTCTCCTTTTGCTTGCAATTCGCGTCTGGACAGTAGCAACAGCGTACCATCTCAATTACCTCACTGCGGTACCTCTATGTCAGAGGTCCGTATCACCAAGAAGGAGGTTCTGAAAACCTTGCGAAGTCTAGACGTGAACAATGTTAGTGGACCTGATCGTATACCAGCTCAGTTCTAAATGTCTGTGCACCTGTGTTGTCTCCTGTGTTGACACGCTTGTTCCGCCTCTCATTCAGGACTGGAATAGTGCCCAAATCTTGGAAGCTGGCCAATGTGCAGCCTGTGCCTAAAAAAGTTAGCCGTACCGACTCTGCCAACTATCGGTCAATGTCAATTACCTCCATCTTCTGCAAGATTATGGAGCGTATATTGAACGCCCACCTCATGGCATACCTAGAGCAAAATGATCTCCTCAGTGATCGCCAGTACGGGTTTCGCCGAAATCGATCAACTCAGGACCTTCTAGCGTATGTCACTCATATATGGGGCGAAGCCCTCGAGAACAGTGGTGAAGTACTTGCTGTTTCCCTCGATATTTCGAAGGCCTTTGACAGGGTTTGACACTTTAGTCTATTGGGCAAGCTTTCAGCGTACGGCTTATCCCCTGGCCTGATTGTCTGGGTGAAGGACTTTCTGAGTGGAGTGAACGGTCTCTCCGGGTCGTCGTCGATGGCTGCACATCCGAAACTGTGGCAACTAACGCCGGTGTTCCTCAGGGGTCCGTTCTCTCCGCAACTGTTTTCCTGCTGCATATAAATGATCTGCTCATTCCCGGTATCTATGGGTATGCAGACGACAGCACAGTTGTTGAGAGATACCAACTAAGTTCTCGGGCCAGCCGGGATCAAATCCAGTCAGAAAGAGAGGCTATGGTTTAGCTTGTGAACCTCACACTACATGCAGTCTCTGAATGCCGATCTCGTGAGATTTAACGCTTCCAAAACACAAGCGTGTCTTTTCACCGCTAAAAGGAGGCCGCTAACCTTGACTCCTACTTTCCGGAATGTATTTTGACCGCCTTCAGTTGTTAGGGGTTGAATTTTCTCCGTACCTCAACTATGGGCGATTCATTGAGTCCAGAGCCAAAGCAACCGCAAGGAAACTTGGTGTCCTTGCAAGGGTGCGGCATTATTTCACGCCGGGGCAGCTTCTTACCTTATATGTATAAAGCGCAAGTCCGGGCGTGCATGGAGTACTGCTGTTACATATGGGTTGGTGCTACAAAATGCCACCTGGCAGCGTTGGACTCAGTGGAGAGACGTTCTAAGAGGCTTATTGGTGACCTTGATTTGGTTGAAACAAATCTTCTCAGTCTCGAGCACAGGCGCAGAGTAGCCAGTCTCTCGATATTCTATAGGATGCATTTCGGTGAGTGTGCGCAGGAATTACACGCTTTAATTCCTCCCTCTTCTTTCCCCCATCGGACAACCAGGCGGTCGGCGGGTCTTCACCCCTTTGTTGTCGATATTACACGTATTAGAACCAAGAGGTTTGCTTCGTCTTTTGTAATGCGTACGGCAAAGGAGTGGATTAATTTGCCGGCGTCTATCATTCCGTCCGAATACATTCTGGCCGTCTTCAAGGCAAGAGTGAATAGGCTTTTGTTACGGTAAGACAGTGCGATTTACCATCTAGGGCTGCATCACCACTAATCACCAGGTAGGATTGTGGTCAAGCACTGGCTTATAATAAGTAAAAAAAAAGACAAAATCTTGGACTGGAAATGGCTCTAGTCCAGTTTAAACTTCAGAAGACACAGGTTTACCGCTAAAAAGAACCTCTTTGTCGGTTCAAATCTTAGGGCACTCCTTAAGATGCCTCAGCGGGCATCGGCATCATTGGCATCAACATATCGAATGACGTACAGTCCCTCGGTCACTTGGAAGAGAAGGCTCAATTGGTCACTAAAAAACTTGGCATGCTCAACAGATTGGGATAGGATTTCATGCCGGCACACCGTTTGCAACCTTACAAGGCGCAAGTTCGCCGCCACATGGAGTACTGTTCTCATCTTTGGACCGGGGCACCCCAAGCCCAGCTCCTTCCACTTCACCGTATGCAGCGATGTGTGACTCGAGTCGTCGACGACCGAGTTCCTTCTGTTTAGTGGAAGTTCTTTGTGGAATCGTCTACTACCGGCGATTTTTCTGGATCTATACGACTTAGAGACCTTCGAGAATCGAGCTTACTCCTTTTAAAAAGGCCAGCAACGCACCCGCATATTCCATGGTGTTGTAGTTGTTCATGGGCGATGGTCGACACTTGCTATCAGGAAAATTTGATTTAATGTGGACGGGAACCGCAGGGTGGAAAGCTAGTAAAATATAAAAAATTAGTAAATATATTCGTGGGTTGGGCAGGCACAGACAGAAGAGGCCGATGGGGGGAGGGAGGCATATTCATAGTTCCCTAGGCTGTCGGAACTCTAAATCAGGCACTGATTGTCATTCAAAATATATAACGTGTACTATTTTATTACGCACGCACACATTCGCAAGGGCTATAATAAAAATAAATAAATCTTTATGTTCCAAGAAAGGAGTGGAATAATTTGCCGCCGTCTATCTTTCCGTCCGAATACAATCTGGGCGTTTTCAAGGCAAGTGGGAATAGGGTTTTGTTACGCTAAGACAGTGCGATTTACCATCTAAGGCTGCATCACCACATCGCGAAGTCTACTATACGAGTTTATATGCTTATCTCTCTAGCAAGACTATTCCTACTCCTATTTTTTTCCCTTTTTTTTCTTTTTTATGGTTCCGTACCTCAAAAGGAAAAAACGGAACCCTTATAGGATCACTTTGTTGTCCGTCTGTCTGTCTGTCTGTCAAGACCCTTTTTCTCAGGAACGCGTGGAGGTATCAAGCTGAAATTCATATCAAATACTCAAGTCTACAGTCACTTGGATCTGTGAAAAAATCAAACTTCTAAGCCAACGTAATCAAAAGATACAGCCGTTTATGCCGCAAATTTTCGACATTCGCAAGGGAATCAAAACCTATTTCCTGTGAACTCAGAATCTTAAAATTTGGTACGAAGCAACGTATTATAGCACAGATAAAGGAATAATTGCGAAAAGCATAAATTTTTACTTACATCATATAATAAAAATATTTTTAATAATTTTAAACCTACGGATTTGTTCGGAACCCTCGGTGCGCGAGTCCGACTCGCACTTGGCCGGTTTTTTTTTCTTTGTCGACACTAATATGTTACGTAAACTTTAAATATTTTAATATTTAGAATTAAGGATACGCAAACCGTTTCAGTAGATAGGCAATACGATGTGCTACTTTTTATGCGACTGCCCCAGAAGGAAGGAAATTTATTTCTAATGCATATAGGTGTGTCTATTTCTTTGGCACGCTCTGGATTTTAAAATAATATGAGATATCGTCTTTTGTAGGAGTGATATGGAGGGTATACAATTTTTCTCTTTTTAGTAAACTTTTATACACAGTCAGGTTTTTAAATTTTATTGGGCGTGTTAGTTGTGAGTATTGTATATACTTAAGATATAAGAGAAATACGCTGCAAATCCGTTTTTGCGATAGGTTTCTTGCCACGGTTGAACGCGCATTTCGGTCAGCGGTATACGGTGGCGGCCACGGAAGCCCTATCTGAGTTTGAAAGGACACAGCTCAACCAACGAGCGGCTAGGAATCAATTGGAGAGAGTTGTCGACTTGCAAGCTGGAAAGGGGCAACCATGGGATTTAGCCGACAGATTTGTAAGTCTAATTAAAAAGTATTTAATTTTGACAATAAAAAAAGTTGCAAAAGCGGTAAAGGCAAGAAATAAGAAAAAAAATATATACATATTTGAGAATGTTTATGAATATATTAAGAAATGAAAGGAAACCGTGGAAATTAATCGATAAATACGGAATTTCATATTAAAAAAAAATATTAAATTTCCTTTTGCTGAAATTTTACATCAGTATATAATAATGATATTTTTGTGTATAAATAATATCTATAAGGTTGTCAAACATAACGATTCATTGATCTAAATGAAATTGCATAGTTTAGTTAGTATTAAATTAAATTAAAAATTTAGGAACTAAAAATAAATTAAAAGTAGCGAAAATCAATAATTGATTAAGGAGTAAGAATAGGATTTCAATTTTGTTCGGCGGCTATTTTTAAAATTTTGCTTTTTTTCTTTAAAGTCTGCCACGGCGGAGTTCAAGCTACCACTAGTTGCAGTTAGACCGGAATGCGCGGGAATTTTACGCGATGAGCCTATGGACGAACCGAAATTGTCACCGCCTTCACACTCCATTAGTCCCTACTTTATGGATAACGAAGACCCGGAAAAATATATCAAAAAAGGTTTAATATTTTAAGTTCTTAAAAGTAAAAAATGTTAAATCGATCATCACTGATAGTTTTTTTTCGAAACTGATTTTATACGTGGTAGAGCCACGCTGCAGTCATGTCATGTTTGTACTTTGTAGCACGAATGGGTCGGATCGGACCGACCGGGGTAGGACCACGCTCTCACAGAATAGTACAGCTACAGCTGTGTTTTGTATGGTGTGTGTATAGAACCGGAGACATTATTACAGATACTACATTATAAATGAGGCATCTTAGTCCTCTAGGGTGACAACGCATTTGCATTTTGGATCTTAATTAAAGATAGATGTAGATAGAGCTATGTAGATAGAGTTACAGCATGTAGAGATGGGATGAGATGTCTATGGGCTACAGCCCATAGACATCATGCTGTAGCATCCTCTTACAATCAGCTGGACTGTGTGCTCTTTTGTTACCGTTATTCTATAAAAAATATGATTACAGGTCGATTGTAGTTCGTTTGTTAAATATTTTTGAAATTGAATATTTTATTTAGCTTTGGTGGTGAACTTAACTTTTTGAATCCACTGCTGAACATAGCTGTCATAGCATACCTTTCGAGAATGATGAGCTTATTATTACGTGTTGAGATACAGATTCGGCATGTTTCGATAGCTTTTTCATCAGTCGCCGAAACTTTGTTCGCTAATGAGCGGGATGCACCACGTGGATGTTATGTTGTTGAAAAGTTTACGACTTACCATAAAAGAGTGTTAATTAAACTCACCAAAAATATATAATTCAATCCATAGGTAGGTAAACTTTTAAGAACCTCATTGATTGATTTATACATATACTCTATGGATAGATTTTTCAAATGACATTCTCTGACATTCAGTCTTTTGTAATACAACTTGAAATTTCTTTAAATGTCACTTATTAGATCGTAAACTTTAAAATTAAATGTCGTATTATAAGATACATTCTTCATTTGTACGAAATCAAATCTGGGGATACAATCCCTCCGAATCTTTACGTGAGTGACTTTATAACTGTTTTACCAGTTAGAGCAGTTTTTAACATTCCCAATTGGACGTAGTTATACAAATCTTCGCGAAGACGTCAAAGTAAGTAGATATGTATATTTAACTGATTTTTGAATGACTTGTGGATTGGAACGTTTTTGTATAACTACGTCCAATTGTGATGCCCACATTACCAATCGTTTCTCATTGACTGTGGGCGCTTAGGTAGGAAAAAAAAGTAAATAAACAAAGAATATGATACAAAAAGATGTATAATTGTTTTGATTTTTGTTTAAGAGATCATTAGCCTCAGGTGTTCGCATGCATTTTATGAATTTATATTTATTTACAAATCGTCTTTCGACAAAAAGTAATATTAAATATTCAATATTTATTATAAAGAATAAATAAAAACTTAAAGTAAAATCTAAAATTATCATAAGTTCCTACACTCCGCGGTGTAGTGCCAAGAATGCTGGCTACACTAGGTTACCAAGTAACCACAGTTATACCATGGGGACCCCTGCAATCGTGTAAACAAAAAAAGTTGTGTGTAAGCCTTGGCGAACTGATCTGTAAATGGATGATACTTAAATATTAAAGAAATCACATGTAGCATATATGTAACAATTTTTTTATTCTTTACAACATACAAAATGGAGATATATGATACATATCGTAAATATAGCTGATTGGACTCCTTATAAGATTAGTACCGTGTGCGTAAAATTTTTTTGAACAGAAATGTTTCATAGAAATAATGCCATATTCATATTCTAAACAAAATACTTATGTATGTGGCAATCTTTTTACAGAATGTAAAAACTTTGTTAGTGTTAGTTGAAAAGTAGGTCCCAAGTAGATGTTAACTAATGATAGTTAATATCTACTTGGGACCTACTTTTCTAACCACAACCAACAATCCCTAAATTACTTTTATTTACGAGTATATCAAATGAATTAGTGTGGTGGACTGCAGCCCATAAATCTTTTCTTTCCTTTTATAATGTTCTTTAAAATATGTCACGTCGCAACAAATTGCCTATAATAGTGTTTTTTTTTATATCAAATTTCTTTTAATAATTTCTCTCCCACTCTTCGTGATGAGCTTACAGCACACTATTCTCCGCTATGAAATTCGATATTGAATTTCTCTAAAATTTGCGCTATTTTCACTGAAAATCTGCCATTCTACCATCATTTCATTCCCGTTATGTGACTTTTGTAGATTATAACAGAGTAATACGATTATGTTCCGTGGTTCTCCTTACGATGATTTTCGTCATTGCTGACCCCGTGATAAATCTGCATCCAAAATTGTTATTAACAATTTCAGTGGTGCCTGCAGCACATGAGTAAAATGTTTACTGAGCAAGTGTGGAAGTCGTGGTATTCGTGTACTTATAGAAGTGCTAAATTTAAAACACAACAACAACGACAAACAAATCGACGATCATGAATATGATTTGTTGATTTTTAAAAACTCCTCGACTGATATTGAAAATATTTAAATGGGACCACTTGGAAAGTATACCCTTTGAAACAAAAAAAAGGATTTTCCAAATCGTTTCAGGCGTCTCTGAGTAATCGGTGAATAAACATTAAAAAAAAAAGATTAACGAATTGAGAACCTCCTCCTTTTTGAAGTCGTTTGAAAATTAAGCAAAGGCATTAAGCTATGGTGTCCATAAAACCTATAATACAATTCTCAATGTTGCCTTTTATTGCGGATTTTGTAGTTTTTAATGTAGATTAAGTACGTTCAAAGTTATAATGTACATAAAGTACATTCATAGCTATAAATTCCACATATTTGTTGCATGCATTATACCTGTTGAAACTTTGAATACTAGAACTATTTTGAAATCATGTGTTAGCCAATCATGTGTCACCCAGAGGTATAGTGCTATTACAAAAAATCGGTATGAATAAATAATAATAAAAAGATGATATAGCTACACAAAAATAATTCTTGACAATAAATCCCAATTCTCTTTCGATGATACTATCTACTATTAACATAATTTTTTTTAATTATTTTTAAAAGAAAGTTACCACTACACTAGGATTTTCTCCTATATCGTGAAGGCAGTACAAACATAAATTACATAAGGACAAACATCCAGACCCGTCCAAACATTCGTGCGGGTTTCGAACCCGCGGCGCCCAGCACTGCAACTCGTTCATTGTTAAGCCAATGCGTCACGGAGCCGTCATTAAGAGTAAGGTTCTGGGAGAGTATTGTTTGAAGCATTTGTTTGTTACAGGGTTTACAGGCCATGTACCATATGGTTTTCAACGATTCGGTGAACCGTCGAAGAAGCTTACGAATTCGGCACTTTGTGACTTCTCTTCAAATTACAGAAGAAGACAAAGTACTGAATGGGCACCTGTCAATGTAGTCAAGTGAGTAAAGATATTGGTTTGGCTACCGCGATGTAGTAAAGTGACTAAAAAGAAAAAATAGCAAGACTTGTCAAGTATACAGTAAAGCCCTCGATCAACAATACCAATTGGTATTGTTGATCGTAAAGTCCAACCTTTCTCGCTTCGCGCTCGGGTATGCAGAATAAATTGGTTTGCTTATAGTGATACTAGCTGTGCCCCGCGGTTTCACCCGCGTCATCACGTGTCGGAGCTGCGCGACATGACCTAGTTCAAGCATTTTATAATTGCAATTAAATATTTTATTTGATAGCAATGGATGGAAAAATTGGCATAATTAATGAAGTACTTTTATCTGTCGGCATATTATGTATGATGTAGAGCGAAGTTTTATCCACCTTCCCTCCCCCCCCTCCCCTCCCCCTCCCGGTTGAGCGTCCTCCCCCGCTCCCCACCCCACGTCCCAGAAAGTGTCCCGAAGCGCGGTTTTTTCCAGTTTTAAAGAAAACCGTACACGATACATGAAAAGTGTATAGGCATGAAATGATTCTTGAGCTATCAAACTCTTATACTTATTAATCAATTAAATTTTCAAAATACCATAGCAACGTGAAATGAAGGAGTTCAGAAATAAAGATGTAACTAATCTTTGTCATAAAAGTACTCAATTAATTTTTAATTTATTTTAGCTATAATGATTGAACTAACCTCGCTCTGAGAAGCTTTCTATACTGGCTTCTCGCAGTTCTCACCGGGCGGCTAGGGTTTAAGCGCCCAGCCAAGTATTGAATTATTTTAATCTTACATTATCTCTTAAACTATGCGTCCAAATAACATGGTATAAAGAACAAAGTTTATCGTCATAAAATTGTCTTGATGATGAAGTAACTTTCGTTCGTAAGGATAAATAGGCCATGCCTAATAATAACGCTCATAAATCACTTTTAAATTATCAATATTTTTTTGTCACAAAATACCTAATTATGGCTTATGTATAAGAAATAGACATATGGTGTCGGGGACGTTTTTTTAGACGGAGTAAAGATCTATATTTTTCTAGAACATTGTATTTACGTACCCTAACGATAACACCAGCGTATGCGGATAAATCATTTCGGGAGTGCTTTTTCTTCTGACTTGCTTAACAAATATCCATATTTAAGGCTAACTGAGTAATATAGCTTAATGCTAGATAGCCTATACTATTTCACATGAATCTGGCTATAATATACAAAAATAATTTTTCAAATCGGACTGGTAGTTCCAGAGATTAGCGCGTTTAAACAAACAAAAAAGCAAAAAACCTCTTCCACTTTATTATATTAGTATAGATTAGACGGAGCGGCGGTCTAGATTAATGAATAATTTGTAGTGAGTTCATTTGTGTTGACCGATCGAAGCTTGCATGTAATTTGCACGTTTTTAATTGTATCGTTCATTTCACTCATTTAGATAAATTACTAAAAGTCTGAGAAACAAAAAAAAAACACTAGGTATACTTAGATCTAAAAATACCAAAGTAGAAGTAATTAATATTTTAAATGACCAACATAAATTCTTAGAACGAAAAAAGCCGTCCTTTAAATGTATTTCACCGTTCATTTTTCGTTTGTATGCTTCATGTTCAATTTCCCGTGAGTAAATAATTCCTGTAAAGTTTACGGATAATTAAATACTTCGGTTCGACTTTAAGCATCTACCTAGCATACTCATAAGTCGTAACTTGAAAAATAGAGTTCTATGTGTATTAATATATGGCATCGAGGTATTGTAATTGGATCATAATCTCGTATTTAATGCTATCAGTCAGCGGTAGCATAACTGCTTTTCAGTCAAAAAATAACGCAAGCATCTAATGATGAAATGTAGAAAGACGATGTTGTCATAAGATTTAAAAATGAATTTGGACACAATTTTGAAATTCATAACACATACGTAAAATCTAAATTTTCTAGTGTCGGTATTCACTAAAATTGCTTTGTATTGCTTCACGAACATTATAACAGACAGACCGCAGGATAAAACTCCCCCTGTACAATTTGGTAGATTTCGTATGAATCGTTACACACAACAGGTAGGCCGCAGCGTGTTTTTGTATATCTTCTTGTATGTACTTATTATATAATTAATTATATTGTACTTTGTTTGTATCGCACTAACGGATCATATAACGGAAAATGTTTTAGAGCTGCATTTATGCGATGTGATGCGATAGACCTCAGTATACGGTGCTAAAACGCATTTTACCACGTTGTCATGACAACGCTTAGTTTTTTGTAAATCAATTTTGCCGTGTGGTGGGGGCGTAAGAAAATCCATCAGCATATTTCAAGACATGGGTATCTTAAAAGGCAATTCCGGGAAATTTCAGAAAAATCTTATAGCTAGTATATGTATCTATATAACCACCTCGATTACGTCAGATGTGAAATACCCAGGTTGGCGGTGGGTAGCAGCTTAGTAACAGTGTCATAGTTGCAAGACATCTGGCTATCCATCTAAAGCAAATGCTCCCTACAACTGGAAAGGATTAACGTTCAGCAAAAACCGATTAAGAAAGTTTTCTATAAAAACTGCCGCAACTATCAAATTGTTATATGATCCACTGCGGCTCGAAATGTGCGTTGACGATATTTTGAGATGAACCGCGCCCTGACTTCCCGTAATGTGCATAATCCTTAAGTAGTGATTCATCACGTTCACGTATAGTCAAGTGTTAATTACATTGTTTATATATTATACGCAGCGTTACAAATACTTATATTAAATGTATATTATCGATTTCATAGGCTCCGTGATAAGTGGCCTTGTCTTTAAAAATACTACTTGTCAAATTACCGACACATGTCAAATCAAGTAATAAGTAATTGTCAAATCAAATTTGCTATTGAATTGCGATTGCATGCGTTGTTTGTTTTCATAAAATACAAAATTTAAGAAAATGGCGAAGAAAAAGCCTCTACCGAATTTGTCTAAAGAGGAGAAAATGGTGATGGTAATATCAGAGATAATACAAGAATTACTTGTTGCACATCGTCAAGGGAAAGATGTTAACCTCAACAAAATGAAGACGAGAATTTCTTCTAAATATGGTCTCGGGACATCGCCTAGGCTTGTGGACATTATAGCAGCCGTTCCAGCTGATGCCAAAAGTATACTCTTACCAAAGTTGAAAGCGAAACCAATACGCACAGCTTCTGGAATAGCAGTGGTCGCTGTAATGTGTAAGCCTCATAGATGTCCGCACATTAATTTCACCGGGAATATATGCGTGTATTGCCCTGGCGGCCCTGACTCGGACTTTGAGTATTCTACTCAGAGTTATACTGGTTATGAACCAACTTCAATGAGGGCTATAAGAGCTAGATACAATCCTTACTTGCAAACACGGCATAGAGTGGAACAGTTGAAGCAATTGGGGCATAGTGTTGATAAAGTTGAGTTTATTGTTATGGGAGGTACATTTATGAGTCTTCCTGAAGATTATCGAGACTATTTTATAAGGTAAGTTGGAAGTTATTATACTATTAGGATTAGGATACATTAGCACTAACTTCCAACGTTCTGTGTTACTTTGGTAGTACATGTAATTTTTCTAAACACATCATTCTTATAGGAATCTCCATGATGCCCTATCTGGCCATACTTCTACTTGTGTAGCTGAAGCTGTTAAATACTCTGAGAAGGCCAAGACCAAGTGCATAGGAATCACAATAGAGACAAGACCCGACTATTGTCTTCAGAGACATATGAGTGATATGCTTAATTATGGATGCACAAGGTATGTCAAATTACATTTATTTTTATTTTCATTCTATAAACATTTCAGGAACTTTTACCGCTTAGCATATGCTAGTCCCATCATACCTTAACCTACATCACTAACTCATATAACATTAATTATTATACTATGTGGGCCATGGATTTGAACAGAACTTTCACATCTTTGCCATTTGGTTGGGATAAAATACAATTATATGTACCTACGTCAGTTCTTTTCAAATTCAAGACTCTTATTAAATTACTTCTAATAGATTCAAATCGAACACATTCCATCAATAATTGGTGTAGGTCTTCCATCACTCCACAGTCTTCACAATTGGGTGAAGTTGTTTTTTTCATTGTAATTGCTTACATGTTCATATCTGAGTCTATGAGAGGTAGTAACTAATTTCCTTCTTAAACTAGTATTCATAAACCAGAGCACTAAATTAAATTAGTAATGTAAGAAACTTTAATTTATTTTATTAATTACATTATGTACAGTAAGGTATTTTTAATTTTATGATATCCATTTACTCAGATTGGAAATTGGTGTGCAGTCAGTTTATGAGGATATTGCTCGTGATACAAATAGAGGACATACTGTTAAAGCTGTCTGTGAAAATTTTAACTTGGCCAAAGATGCTGGTTTTAAGGTAAAACACTTTATCAATATTTGCCAATTAACAATCTGAAATTCCTTTAAGCAGTGAGGAGTGGTATTATCACCTTTTTTGGAAGATATATATATACACAGTTGTAGTGCCAGATACTTTGCAAATATAATGCTGTTCTTCCAGTCTGAGTATTTTAAAATATATAATGTTATTCTGTCATCTTTCCAAGACTACAAGTTCAATCATTTTTCTCAGTGCCCCCAACATCCACAGGTAGAGATGGGGATATTGGATTTTCATAAATACCTACAAAAGTCTGGCTGGATTGCTTCATAGTGGATTATTGTCATTGTTGCCATGGGCAGGTGGGTTGGCAATCACAGTTATTTTATTATTTTGTGAGTAAGTATTATGAATAATGTATCTGAATAATGGCAGTCTTATTTTTGAGGAGGAATTGCCTCAATTGTCACACAGTGCCAGACATCTCTCTCTTCACTGTTGTCTATCACTGGTTTGGATAGTTTACGTCTAGCATAAACGAGGAAAACTGACATCTATTGGAAGTCATAAGGTTTTTCTGACATATAGTAGGCTTTGCAACATCCATGGCAGGAAATGGGTTGATGTATTGTCTTGCATCACCATCACAAGACAATTTGGACATTAATTGGTTTTATGTAATAAATGCCCAATTTTTTTAAATAGATGTGATTTTTATTACAGATTGTTGCTCACATGATGCCAGATCTCCCAAATGTTGACTTTGAGCGTGATGTTGAACAATTTAAGGAGTTCTTTGAGAACCCAGCCTTTAGAGCTGATGGATTGAAAATCTATCCAACTTTAGTAATACGAGGCACTGGCTTGTATGAACTGTGGAAGACTGGTAGATACAGAAGTTACCCCCCATCAACCTTGGTTGATCTGATAGCTAAGATATTGGCGCTTGTTCCACCATGGACTAGAGTGTACAGGTGAATACTGTAAAAAATGAAATTGTTTATTTATTAATAATACTTGCTATAATAGAATTTGTGCATGGTTAAAATTACAAGATTTCCTAGACTATTAAAAATTAACATCTGGTAATTGGCACATGCGTATCAAAAACATTTGACCTTTTTTGTTTTTTATAGGATAGGATGACAAACAAGCACACAGTCCACCTGATGGTAAGTGGTTGCGGTGACCCATAGACATCTAGATCTATCCTATATAATTTTCTTTGTATGTCACTTCCAATGTGTAGTACAGATCATAGTTAGTTCTATGTCCCCTTTTACAATGGTCACAAGACGAAATATAGTAGTGTAGTGTTCAATCAAAAGTTTGTATACCTCTATTTTTGTATAATTGTCTTCAATATTTATGAAAGTACATACTCATCTATACTGTAAATATAATGAGAGCTTAGTTTCTCCTTCTCTTTGTTGCTGCGTTGTTGCCTCTGTATCCACAGAGTCCATTGCGTGGTCACATTGTTGTAATTATGTACCTTGTAAGTGTTACTGTTACTGGAGTTTGTGCATTGGCCCCAAGTTCATCACATTGCAGCTCAGAGCTTGTAGTACATCCTCCATCATATTATATATCATTAGTGCGATAATATAATTTGTGAGGCAGTGTATAAATATCCACTACTCCATATAATCCTGTGGGTATCGTAAGAGGCGACCGAGGTAAACAAATGAAAGATGGGCAGCAGTGTCTTCTTAACAGCAACTGAAATTTTTTTTATGGGATAAGGGTGACAAACGACCACACCTGATGGTAAGTGGTTGCTGTGGCCCATAGACATCTACATCTTTCCTCAATAAAGAATCAAAATGCACATGCGTTGTCACCCGTGAGGACTAAGATGGAATGCCTCAGTTCCAGTAAAAAGGGTCTCTGGTTCTCTACACTCCCATATGAAACACAGCAGCATTAAGCTGCTATTTTACACTCGTAATCTGTGAGAGCGTGGTCCTTCCCCGGTCGAGCCGACCCATTCAGGCTACAACTATACTATTAATATAGCTGCAGCATGGCTCTACCACGTATAAATAAAAAACTGCGATTGCTTTCCGCCTGCCAAGCGCGGCATCTATGCCAAATATCCTATGCAGTAATCAAACGGGGTAAGCCCGTGTTCGGCAGTGGACTTTTGATAGGGTGAAGTAACAATAACTTTTTAGTTTATTGTATTGAATCTAGAGATTTATTACAGGGTTCAACGTGATATCCCAATGCCTTTAGTTTCATCAGGAGTGGAACATGGCAACCTTCGAGAGTTGGCACTTGCTCGTATGGCCGACTTGGGTACAGATTGTAGGGATGTCAGGACTAGAGAGGTGGGCATACAAGAGATACACAATAAAGTGAGACCCTATGAGGTAAGTACAGTTGAGTGATGGTGTTTTTTTCTATTAACTTGACAAAAAAGAATTACTTAAAATATTTTCTATTCCATCATTTGGGCATTGTAAGGTTTTACTGAAGGAATATGAATACTGTCTATTTACTGTTTCTTTGCACATAACATCTTACTCCAGATATCAACCTCTATGGAACATTGTAACTATGGCAAACATGTGCAAATTTCATAGTCCACTTAAATATTAATTTGAATAAAAAATGCTACATCACATAATTCGAATTTGTTATGTTTAGTAGTTCCTCAAAATTTGCTTGGATTTATAAGCTTAAGGGGCTACTCCATGCGAACGACCTTGAGCATTTTGCCGGCGGCACGCCGCTCGCCTCAATATATTGCTTATTTGAAATATGTACGACGCCACCACCTATTGTAGGTACGAACGTAGTATTATTTTTACAACATCAATGAACTAATTTATGGAAATACACACAGCGTACAACGATAAATGTATTTTAATTTTTTTATTCGGTATATTAGTTGCATTATATTAGAATTATGTATTTTCATATATTATCTAATTATGAAATTTTATAATTAATTATATATTAAAAATGAAGCATTGAAAATGTGAGTTTAAAAGATACCTATTCACTATAGGTAAATAAATAGATAGCTCGCCTTTTGTACAAATATTTGGTGCAATAAAGAATAAATAAATAAATAGGATGTTTCGTAGATGTGTTTTTGATTATTGTTAATTTTTACGTGTCACGTATTGAAAAGTAATATACCTACCTACTAATACAAAAATCAACAAGAAGTATAAGGGTTCAATCTTTCAATTTCAATTGTAAAAAAACGTTACCCCCACACTAGGATTTTCTCCTGTGTCGTGGAGGCAGTTTACAAACATAAATTGCACAAGGACAAACATCCAGACCCGGAACAATTATTTGTAAGCCATACAAATACTTGTTCCGTGCGGGATTCGAACCCGCGGCCCCCAGCGCAACAACTAATTGCTAAGCCACTGCCCCACGGAACCGTCGCCGGGTTATAGCTAAAGTGACCATACGTCCCGTTTTGAACGGGACTGTCCCTTTTCTCGGTCACCTGTCCCATTGTCCCCAAACAAAGCTCCGGGACACAAAATTGTCCCGTAACTCGTTGGATGGAAGTATTCAAAGTCAACAATCTTCAACATCATTTTTTTTAATCGAATATATTTTATGTCTACCTGGTACGAATGCTCCGGTAGAAAGAGTATTTTTTTTTATTTTGAATAAATTGTGGACGTCTGAAAGAAACACTTACGGTTCCAGAGTTCTAAAGGCGATGTTGTTAACAAAGATAACAATAAAAAAACTTGAGCAGAATTTTATTTTTATTTAAAATCATCACCAACTTTCTTAAAAAAAATTTAATCCACTGACAAATGTAATTAATAATTAAAAAAAATATGTTGCATTTAATAATTACCGTCTATACCGAATATAATTTTACAGTGAACACTTATTGTATAAAGTTATAGTTTTTAGAGTATTAATAAACCCATGTCCTGTTTTGAGTTAAAAAATAAATGGTCAGTTTAGTCTTTTTAGTTAAATTTAGTTTTAAAAATTTTTAGAATAGTAAAAAGTAGGTATATTAGTACCTACTTAAATACTTTTTACCGAATTATAAGTATAGAACACCTTATGTACTCAATTATTTTTTTGAAAAAGAAGAAAAAACAAGCAATAAATAATATACTATATTTTAGCAAAAAACTATAACTTAGTAATACTAATTATAACTTAGAACATAAATGAAAAACTCATAACTGACTTTTTGGCCCGACCCAGGATTCGAACCCGGGACCTCATGATCAGCAGTCGCACTACTACAACCACTAGACCAACGAGGCAGTATTATACCTAATAAGATATTGTGGTTGGGTGATAATATTGAATTAGCCTGTTATAGTGTAAATTATAATATTTGTCGAAATTTTAATTATGGATTCGAACCTTACATGCTAATGGTGCTTCATTTTTTTATTTGCATTTACTTCAAAGAAAATACACGCATAAAGCTTCATCGCGCAGTAAAAAACACAACAAATACATGTATAACTAATACGAAAAATTATACTCAAAACAAACAAATAATACTACCTATAAATAACCTAATAAGTAATATTATTATCGACTAATATGACGTGAGTTCGACGCTCTAACGACACGGGCTTCGCGTCGAAGAGCTCAGGGCTCACTGACTTCAACAAGCCCGTGAGCAGTGAATATGCCCAGATTTTAAAATAATTTCTTAATAAAATCAAATTTTGGTCTTTTGAAAAAAAATTTACTATAGAAATGTTTATTAATAAATTGCCTATCCATTGGTGTAAATCGCAAAATAAAATAATACTTACTTTACGAGGAGATGCATGTTATCAATAATAATTTCACATTTATGTGGTTTCGTTGTAAGGAGATTATATTAATATTTATTCGTTTAAAAAAAAATTGGATATAGCTTTTATGGAATCAAGATTATGTAGAAATATAATGTGTTTTTTATTTATTGATATATGTTTTAAATAAAAAGTAGATAGCTCCTAAAAACCACACAAATAACGACTAGCGCGACATTTTGCTCAACCTGCGCCTTAATTAAATTTTTATTAGGAAATAAACTAATCTGATACCCATTTGACTACACGCAACTGACATCATTTAAGAAAGCTGCCTTTTCCGTAATTCTAAAAATAGATTCCAATTAAAATAAGTGTTACTACCCTATTTTTTTTATTTAGAAAAATGCTATATAAATATTCACACCGAGTATGCTTAAAATGCATGTCAGCAATTTATGACATTAGTCAAATAGAAGATTCAAACTCATGTGTTTTAATTTTCGGTCCATACTTTTGACCATGCTACTTTTCCTTCCATCCATCCATTACTATCAAAACTCCACTGCTGAATGTAGATGCCTCCTCCATTGATTGGCCCATAGTTACTATGTCTTACCATGCTAGGCTATACTTTGTCTTAGAGGAACTTATTTAATTTATATAAGAATAAGCTATTAGTTTTATCACAAACAGTACCAGTGTGCGTCTTCATGTTTATCTTACATAGTACTGATACCGTACCAAGCATGGTAAGTTATATGTATGGCCAAAGAAAATGCAGCTTACAAATAATTGTTCCCGTCTTTTAATGTTTGTCTATGAGCATTTTGTGTATGTTAAATGCTTTCATGAAATACGAGTTTATGGTGCGTGATCTTAAAGAAAAAAAGGTTCAATTTAATATTATTTCAGATAGAGCTAATAAGACGGGACTATGTGGCGAATGGTGGCTGGGAAACATTCCTTTCTTATGAAGACCCAGATCAGGATATACTTGTTGGTTTATTGAGATTGAGGAAGTGTGCTGCAGATACATACCGGCCGGAATTGAAGCCTGGACCAAAAGCCAATTTTAAACAATGCAGTATTGTGAGGGAGCTACATGTGTATGGATCTGTAGTACCGGTATGGCTGCATTTATTAATTTTATAAATGCCTGCTATAGAAAGAAAGAATGAACACATATATTTATTGCCGCAACTTGCAGACCATCAATTTAACAAAAAAAAAACCAACTTAACTAAATATTAAAAATAATTTAATAAATATAAATAATGGATTGCAGCAACAAAAAGGCTACTGACTCAGCATAATGCTACAGTAACAGAGTTACCGCAGCGTTGGTATTCTGTCGGAGCCACATAGTAATAATGATAAATACAATAAAACTATAAATGTTCATTGCAATGCTTCTTATCCGAATATGTGACAAATACACTTTGATTTATATCATTCATTTTAAGTGATGTTATGTATTTTTGTAAAAGTAAAATGTAAATTTACATAATAAATATGTCTCACGGCTGGGAATAGGCTTGCTCTCATTTCTGTGAGGGTTATGAATAATCCGCCGCGATGCCAGTGCGTATTACGGCCTTCGTTTGTCTTCAAAATATTTTATTTTTCAGACAAAGGTTCCTCACGATGTCTTCCTTAACACCAAGCGTATGGTGAATCAACATTTAGAATAGATATTAACAATTTTAACAGTACTCTAATCGTAGGGTGCAGTCTGCAAACTCAGAGTTGTGATTCCGAATCCGCCATTGTGAACCACTCGCACAAGTATTTTTAAGCTGTAAAATTTACCAGGACTGCTTAACCCTCCCTGAGTTACCAAGTTTTGACCTGTAAATTAAAACTAGACGATTCTATGTGAAACTAGAAAACTTAATATTTTTGCACAAACGTTGGTACCGACTAGGTTTGAACCTAAGACTCACGATTTAGATATAAGTATTGTATTAGTAGAGTAATAATATAGTGAACGTATAAAGTTATACTATTCAACTGAATTGTTGATATTCCTTTCTAATTATAGGTAAATGCCCGTGATCCTACAAAATTCCAACATCAAGGGTTTGGAATGCTTTTGATGGAGGAAGCAGAACGCATTGCTCGCGAGGAACACGGCTCTGATAAGATCGCTGTTATATCTGGAGTTGGTACTAGAAACTATTATGCGAAAATTGGTTACCATTTGGAAGGGCCATATATGGTCAAAATGCTTGTATAATACAATGAAATAAATATATTTAGAAATTTAACGAATGTTTTTCTTATATTAAGATTTAGTTGAAAATTTTTAAAAGTAAAAATTGTTTTAGATTTCATATTACTCCCATTTAATGCATTCCTGTCCCTATTCCAGACCTGATCCGCCCTTGTCCATCAATCCAACGGAAATATATCACAAGCACGTTGGTATGTTGCCTAGTTACGCAGGCCACGTACCAGGATGTATATTCAGGTAATTTAAACTGAAATATTTTAATTGAATCGGTAGCTTATTGGGGATTTTTCCATAGTCATCACGCTTGGCACGCAGGTTGGCAACTGCAGTTATTTCTTAGGAAGAAGCTGCTGCCCTTATTCTAGTTTGCTTTCCTCTGTCACTTCTTAACGACACCCACGGGACGATATGGAGTAGTGGATATTTTTACACTGTTAATAAACGGTTTAAAGAAAGGTTCAGGTTCTTACCAGTAAACGATGTATAGGTAGGTCGGCCCACCACTAGATGCAGTGACGTTATGGTAAGAGATGTAGGAAGTAACTATTGGATGCAGTTGGCTCAGGACCATGCTTTGTGGCATTCCTTGGGGGCTATACTCACCAATCGACTTGTTCTTGACTTGGGCTTTAATGATGATGACGATCATGATGATAAGTGAAGAGTTAGTAGCTAGATTTAAAAGTTTTTAAAGAACATCAATTTGACAAACTTGCAGTCTACTTGGAACTCCCGCAATATATTTTAAAACAGGATTTCAGAACAAATTATTTTTTATCCGAACCAGTGATGAAAGTAAAGTATTTACTTTCATTAAGAACTATTTATAAGTAACTATCTGGTACCCGGCGCATTGCAGCCGCAGAAGAAATGTAAAAAAATAGTTTTAATTTTAGAAGTTATGTTGTTTAATTAGAGATGATAATACATTCATTGGAGTTCAGTAATATACAACTTTCAAGTAAATTTGTCAGTACGATACTCGCGCCACCTACTGTAAATTTATTGTACTATGCCTAAGCGCAAGTGCAAGCAATAAGTTGACAAAGTTTCACCGACGACGACGAACGGTAAGGCAACGCATAAAATACGAACAAACAAACATAATTTCTTATATATTAGAAAAGATATTGAATAAAAATATCCTATTCTATTAAAACAAAGACCAAAGGTGCGATGCGTTTCCATATACTGTTCTTCATATTCTTAAAAGTGATATGACCACAACAGTGGATGTACTGTTGCTTGGTGGCAGCAGGAGGCGATTGAGCTCACTCAAACGGACTAGGCAGGAAAGCACCTTTACCGTCAATCTTCAGTTCTTCAGGTTTCTATCATGACAACATAAACTAACGCTTGTCACCCAGAGGGGTGGGCAGAGACTACGGACTTCCATTTTTGACCTGATACACCTCTAATAGCTTCTTTTACTCGCACTGTTTACATGCAATCAGTAGTCGTGGTAACTTCTTGAGGGTGTACGCACGTTATTGAAGTTAGTGGGCAATAATTAATTCATGGAAACAACGATTGAGTAAATGTTCTTATCTGCAGTTGAAAGAGTTGACGAAAATGTTCGAAGAGATATTTAAAAAGAAACGACTGGATATGACAAATGGATAGAAAACAGAAAAGAAACTGGAGGTTCTGCTTTGTTGTAGACGCGACGTCACACTATAATGCCCTATATATTATCTATGCAATAATGCAGCGCCAGCGACTGATCAAGTACTGACTTGGTCGTTTAGACAAGGTTAATACCGTTGGCGCGGGTGGCGGGGGAGTAGACTGAATTCAAAATATTCAAGCAGGAATTAGTCAGCATTAATGCTGCACTGACTTCAAATCAATTTACACTATGTCAGTACTGGGTCAGCACTGACTTGCCTCGAATTTGGAGCCAGTTACTGACCCTGTGTAAATCAGCCATCACATCGCAAGCGAGAGCGTGACTCTTTCCCGACCGAGCTGACCTGTAGCGTGGCTCCACCACCACCAAGTATAAAGTCTAGCTAGTTTTGACAGATTATTTTATTTCAGATTCGGCAAAACTTACGGCAACGATACGCGAGATGCGAAACGATGGCTACGCGGAGATTTTAGACCTTGAACGATTAAATTCAAGAGTATTTGAAAAAATACCAAGCAGTCACAGACCTATATTACAAATACATATTTTACAAATTTTTCTTTACAATAATACACGTTTATTTGATCTTAGTCTTTTATTTAGATGATTTTTACAAAACAACATCATAAAATTTCCAAATTTGAAGATGTAATAAAAATAAATACATAATTTGCTTATCGATGGTATGAGTATTTAAACATTTTGAATTTTATTTTTTATTTTGAGAATTATGTCAGAGATCCTTTTTGTTTTTACAAGTCAACTAACTATTTCATTGGTGCAACACAGTTCTTTAATGATCATACATTTCACTCGGTAAATACAGCGTCTTTTAATTATGTAATGGACAACCCGACAAGCACTTGCAGTGACCCATTAATGTGATTAAGGGTAACAAATTCAGCTTTTTTTTCCAAAATTACGTTTCTCCCATTATTCATTGGATTAATAATTTTTGAGGCATTAAAGTTGGTAAAAACTACTTTGCCTACATCCGCTCAATAACATAAAATAATGTGTCTCACCTAGTTTGAAGAGCACCTCTCGCCCTCCCTCAATTGGGCGCACTATCCCGTCACCCAATAATCCCAGCACCACTACTCCTTTATTAGTGGTGACGGGGATAGTGCACGCAATCGAGGGAGGGCGGGAGGTGCTCTTCAAACTAGGTAAGACATATCATTTTATATTATTGGGCGGATGTACGCGAAGTAATTTTTACCAACTTTAATATAATGGTTTCCCGCAAAGTAACGCCTGATTCTATCAATTTTTCTGAGGCACTGTTGGTGTGCTCTCAAGTACCTGTCGGGTTATTTATTGTTTACCGGACACCCGATAATAAATAACGTTAATTAAAGTCATTGTTAATGGAGTTTGGTAACGTTATTAAGCCTTGGTTAAAACAGACTATAAAAGTAAAAATAATTCTTTTCCGGCGTTGTTATTATACAAAAGTATATCACAATTATGTTGTATTCTTATTTATTATACATTTATATTTTAAACCATTACTTCTTTTTACTATTCCATTCTTTAAGTAGTTTTTCAGTTAATGCAAGATTTTCGTCTTTCTGTAAACAAACATCACATTTATTAGTTTTAATGCTTTTAAATATTTATTTTTTACATTATTGAAAGACATTAATCAAAAATCCAAAAAGTGGAAATGATTTATTAATAATACCCAGAACATTATCTTTTCTTGGGTGCGTTATCTAATGCAAATACGGCTACTTAAGGCGCCTACAATTTTACACTATAATACATTTTTTTTTACTTACTATAAGCCAGTGCTTGACCACTATCCCACCTGGTGGTAAGTGGTGATAAAGTCCTAGATGGTAAATCGCACTGTCTTAACGTAACAAAAGCCTATTCACTCTTGCCTTGAAGACCATATTGTATTCGGATGGAAAGATAGACGCCGACAAATTATTCCACACCTTTGCTGTACGCATTACAAAATACGAAGCAAACCGTTTGGTTCTAATGCGTGGAATATCGACATCAAAGGTGAAAACCCGCTGACCACCTGGTTGTTCGATGGTGGAAAAACGAGAGGGAGGAATTAAATCATGTAATTCCTGCGCACACTCACCGAGACGCATCCTATATAATACTGAGTGGCTGGCTACTCTGCGCCTGTGCTCGAGGCTGACAAGATAACAGTGGTAGAGCCACGCGGCAGCTTTTGCTGTCGCACGGATGGGCCGGCTCGAACCGGGGTGTTACCACGACCTCACAGAAAACCAGCGTGAAGTAGAGGTTTACCTCTGCGTTTCGCTTGGTGAGTGCAGGTGGCCGGAGGCCCTTTTTACTGGAAATGAGGCATTCCATCTTAGTCCTCACGGGTGACAACGCATCTACATTTTGATTTGTAATAGAGGATAGATGTAGATGTCTATGGGCCGCAGCAACCACTTACCATCAGGTGGACTGTGTGCTCGTTTGTCACACTTATCCTATAAAAAAAAAAGATTGGTTTCAACTAAATTAAGGGTACAAATGAGGCTCTTAGCACGTCTCTCCACTGAGTCCAACACTGCCAGGTGGCATTTTGCAGCACCAGCCCACATGTGATAGCAGTACTCCATGCACGACCGGCCGGACATGCTCTTCATATGAGATACGAATCTGCCACGGGGTGAAGTAACGCAGCACTCTTGCAATGACACCTAGTTTCTTTGCGACTGCTTTGGACGTGGACTCAATGAATCGCCTATAGTTGAGGTTCGGAGAAAATTCAACCCCTTGCAACTGAAGGCGGTTAGTGTACTCCCAAAGACACATTCCGGAAAGTAGGAGCCAGGATGAGTGGGATCGTTTTAGCGGCGAAAAGACACGCTTGTGTTTTGGAGGCGTTGAATCTCACGAGATTGGCATCGTCACATTCGGAGACTGGCCGCAGTGAGAGATTCATACGCTCGTTTGCGTTGTCACCCCTGATGCTTAAGACGGAATGGCTCATTTCCAGTAAAAGGGTCTCCGGTTCTCTACACTACACATACGAAACAGCATCATTAGGTTGCTATTTTACGCCGGTATTCTGTGAGAGCGTGGCCTTTCTCCGATCGGGCCAACCCATTTGTTCTGCAAATATAATATAGCTGCAGCATGGATCTACCACATGTACAATTATAACAAAATCTTCTTCTTATTGACTATCGACAATTATTAGCTACTAGTAAACACTACCACTAGGAAAGATAGTAAAGAAGAGGATACCTTAATAAAGCAGAACCTCGCGAAGTTTTCCCCCAGATTTTTGTGCTCCTCCGAGTAAAATGCGCTGGGAGGGATCGCGAGCACTCCCGCTTCCTTTGCGAACTTCTTAGTGAAACGGTAGTCTTTGTACTTGTCCGATTCAGAC